GAGTGGGTTGCCATGCCCTTCCCCAGGGGATCTTCCTGACCCAGAGATTGAACCCAGGTCTCCCACATTGTAGGCAGATTCTTTACCGTTTGAGCCACCAGGGAAACTGCAGCTTATGACTCACACGAATCGAATGATCATCTATTTTATTTGCTTCAGATTCTCTTGCTAGAATATTTTCAGGCAGAAACTTTGGAAAGTTCAGCTACTGTCATCCATCTGGCTGGTAGCAGGAGGACAACTGAAAATCTATGTCTGCAGGTTTAAGAGGTCTCTGTGTACACCAGGATGAAGCGAAGGGTCCATGCACTGCATTCATTTGTCTTCAATGTTCTGTCATTATGACAAAGTAGGATTTATCAGTATAGATGGGAAAATTGAGGAGCATACTTTTACTCATCCATCTGGCCCTCAAAGATGTCTTATTTTTTTATAATTTTATTTATTTATTTTTGGCTGTGCTGATGCGGGGAAATTTCTTCAGTTACAGTACACCATCTTCTCATTGTGGAGGCTTCTCTTGCTGCAGACCATGGGCACTAGGGCATGCAGGCTCAGTAGTTGCGGCTCCTGGGCTCCAGAGCACAGGCTCAATAGTTGTGGCACACAAGCTTAATTGCTCCATGGCATGTGGGATCTTCCCGACCCAGGGATTGAACCCATGTCTCCTACATTGGCAGGTGGATTCTCTACCACTGAGCCACCAGGAAAACCCCCATGGTGTAGGAAAATACAGAATTAATTGCAGGGCTCCAAGCAAGGAGAATGGGCAGCTCATGTGCAAAAGACCTGAACTACCTGATTGCTTTCAAGGAAGGGTTTTTAAAGGGTTTGGGGGTTGAAGGTTGCAGCTCATGGACTTTCTTTTCATTGGGTGGTAGTAAGGAAACAGGGCAATGTTTCAGGAATCTTAATCCTTTGCCTTTCAGTTCCAACAAGTCTGGAATCTATGGGCTTGTGGTCAAGGTGTAGTCACCACCTTCCAAGGGGGTGAGTTAGAATCCTAGTTTCTTCAGAACAAGTCAAATATATGGATCAGATTACTATATTTATGCCTTAAGGAAAAACTAGGTCTCTGTTTTATAACTGAAATATTTTCTAAGCTGTTATCAACCTGTATCTGCACATTCCACAGGGAGTTTGGCTTCATTGCAATTCTCTCTCCTTTACTTGGCTTTTCTCATGTCTGCACCCACCCCAAGTACATTCTCTTATTAGACACCATATCCTCCTGAGAGGTGCCATTGGCCTCCACTGACTATTGTGGTTCTCTTCCCACATATCAGCAGGAGAAGCTGTACCAAGCTTCCTTCTACTCATCTTCTGCCTCCCAAGGTGGTTGTGGAAACTTATACTGTTGAGGAAAACTGGAAATATCCTAGAGGAATTCAAAATTAAAACAATTCTTCATCAGATGCATAGGTTTGACCATATGAATACTTGACACATTTTTCTCTCTGGTTAAAAATAGGAAAGAAAGTTGCCCTTTGTTAAATCAGAGGACAGAATTAAGAAACCCCCAAAATCAATTACATCAACCTATGTGGCCAGTTTTTAACATATGACTTAGAAAGGAAAATATAAAGCTTCTTTGGACTTAAATGTTATCTGTCTCCTTTAAGCTAACTCCCAACCTAGTGATTATGATGACTAAAATATATCTAATACAAAGTCATGAGATGGCAAAAACAATACAGACCAGTTGTTGGTAATTCAGAAATAAGAAAAGGTCTCCAAGAATGGTATTGAAAATACGTGTTCTCTTGCTAAGGACGTAGACGTTAGCAACAATGGACTCTTTAGTCCTCTGGGGGGAGTGGGTGGGAAGGGGTTTTGAGAACAGAGAAATGCAAGTCTGGAGCCCAAATGTGGGAACTGCATTGAGAAATAATAGGTGTACAAAGTCTATCGGAGAAGGCAATGGCAACCCATCCAATACTCTTGCCTGGAAAATCCCAAGGACGGAGGAGCCTGTTGGGCTGCAGTCCATGGGGTCGTGAAGAGTCAGACACGACTGAGTGACTCCGCTTTCACTTTTCACTTTCATGCATTGGAGAAGGAAATGGAAACCCACTCTAGTACTCTTGCCTGGAGAATCCCAGGGACGGGGGGGCCTGGTGGGCTGCCGTTTATGGGGTCGCATAGAGTCGGACACGACTGAAGCAACTTAGCAGCAGCAGCAGCACAACAGCCATGAAATGTTTTCCAATAAACATTTTCATGCAAGGACTAACAGTAAGCATGGCCCTGGCTCTGGGAGATGCATGCTCCTTGGAGTTAACTGCTCTCCTCTACTTATCTGGCACAAGAGGGTACCACCTAAAAACTTCATTCACTTTTCTTTTCTGTGGATATAGAAAACCAAGATCTGTGGAAGTACAGGTTTTTCTTACCTGGTCCCTGTATTTTCCAAACTGCTTCACGTTTCTGGTTATGTATGAAAATTGAGGATTACCATCATAACTACTGAGCCTAAGAGGCAAAATCCTCATAAGAGACTTCACTAGACATGCATGTGAATTGTCTAATAGGGCCCCAAACATATTTCTTGAATTTTTGGAACTATGTCATATAAAGATCACTTCTAAGTATGCGTAGAAGAGTAAGGGGAAACATGTTAATTATAAAGATTTTTTGTTGTTGTTTTAAGGTTATTTTATTCAAACAAGATTTGCTGAGAACAGCTTCTATTAGGAAGTTTATTTAATATGACTGAAATTTCCAGGCATTTTCATCCCAGTCTTTTGCTATAATAACACTGTAGATTTTCTTTATGCCACCAAGAAGCATCTTCACATTATAAAAGATAACAGGTTTTTCATGCAATGTATAGACTTTATTATGCTTTTTTTTATCCCTTTGGGCCAGATTCTAATATAATTTCAGGAGAAAATTCCTATTGAAGTTGACTGAATTCCAATGTAATTTGAAAGCAATTAAAATTTATCAAAGGAATTTTGCAATAGAGTCATTCTGGAAATGAATCCAGCCCAAAAGGGAATAACACAAGCATATCTAGGTCTTTGGAGCAGTGCTAAGAAATTCCTTAAGTTTTATTGACTCAGTAAAACGACAGTGTTCCATTGGATGGTAGGAATGTAAAAGCCTTACAAGTCAGTCATTCATGCAGATTCACTGAAGTTTTAGAAATTGAAAAGTTTCTTAAAACTTAATAGCATCATCCTCAAATGGGTATTCCTAAATAACCAAAAGTAGAAAATTTCTAGTATACTTTATTAAAGTGTAATCTATGTCAAACACAACATAAAGTTTCCAATAAAACTTTTTTTCTATGTTGTTATCATTCTTAAAAAAAAAAAACAAACCCATGTGAAGGGTCACGTGTCAGCACCACATGACCTGAGTGTCAGTTAACAGTGTCACACAGAAGCGGCACAGGAGCGACTTCCTGGCGGTCCAGTGGTGAAGAACCCACCTTTCAAGGCAGAGGATGCACTTCCATTCCTGGTCAGGGACCCAAGATCCCACATCTAACCCTGACTGGGGAATAACGCTGCAGGGGTGACTAGAACCTTGTGCCCCAACTAGAGAAGACCCTGAGCACTGCAATGAAGACCCAGCACAGCCAAAAAAAACTTCTTTTTAAACTAGAAGAAGAAAACACCTCTAAACAAAGGAAGGAAACACAGCAAAAGAAGAACAAATGTTTCTGTGAGCCTCTCTTTAGGGCTTGTGTTACATTATTGATGTAGAAGGCCTCATCTTTTACATAATACTCTATACTATGATGCAAATAATACTCTGTATGAAATAAAAGAGAGCTTGCTTTTTATCATATTGATATCTGCTCTATTAATATACTCTAACAGAAGTGCATGGATTCTAAGGAAAATGAGGTTTCTGGGGTGCCTCTTCATGCACATGCTATTTTGAGGCACAGTCTTGTAGAAGTCAGACCTGAAAGTCATTAATCAGCACATACTAATTAATTGCTCTTAATTAAATAGAAAAATAAAGTGGAGAAAATTTCAGAGTAATAAACACAGTAGGTTAATGACTATTATTGTTATGTCAACTTCACTTTCAAGAAACTTTAAGTTATCCAAAAGCATGAGTCTACCTTCAATCACAATGATGGTATTTGACACACAATTTTGCTTACTCAAGTGAAAATCCCAAAAGGAACTTGACAGCCTAAACTTTTGAGTAATGTACCATCTTAGATGACAGAGCATTACAGCCAGAATGGCCACATGAGAAGCTCCACAGACCTGCTTCCCAGGGAAATAACCATACTGATGGAATTTTTTTTAAAGTGAGGGGAGAACTTCCCTGGTGGTCCAGTGATTACAATTTTGCCTTCCAATGCAGGAGGTGAGGGTCCAATCCCTGGTCAGGAAGCTAAGATCCCACATGCCTCATGGGTAAAAAACAGAAAACATTTAAAAAGAAGAAGAAGAAGAAGCAATATTGTAACAAATTCAGTAGAAACTTCAAAAACCGTCCAGAAGAAAAACTTTAATTAAAAGAAAGAAGAAGAAATGCAAAGTGTCCAGAAATTTTCCTAAGGACATGCAACAAATGGAGAAAAATGTATTCAAGAAAACTCTCCTGAATCTCAGTAAGATTATTTGGAATCTGAACCATAAACACAGTCAATCCAGTTTAGCAGGATTAAATACCCATTTTAGGTGGATATGGCCAGGAAGATGGGGTTCCTTCTTCCCTCAAACCTCAATCAAGGGATCCTTAAAAGGTTTACAGAGGCTAACTTTCAAGAGCCCCTAAGCCCCCTTCCTCCACCCAACCCCCACTCACAGAGCAGAGTCTTTCCACCCAGAGGCAGACCGAGAATACTTAGCACCTTGTTCACCTTAACCTCAGCTTATTCATAGGGTGAAAGTTTCATGCTGGGCAAGGCAAGCCACAAAAACCAGAGGCTTCATCCCGACCCAGAACCCTGCTTGCAAAGCAGGAGAGTCAATCCACAAGAAGCAAACCACTGTCCCCACCCACAGCTCCAGAGATATGACTCCAACTGCCCAAGTCTCCACCATGAACCATCTTGGCTTCCATTTTCAGGGACATTTGGTGTGATTTTTTTTTATTTGCATTTAATGCTTTTCATTATTACAAACTCCACCCAACACATCTAAAATCTCTCAACACATACTTCCTAATTCCATCTGTATTATTTCTAACTTTGATATTTTGTATCACGAAATCCCTCAAAATTGGGTCTATGTTACTGAAGTTTTACAAGAATAATTATAACAACGACTAATAACATATACTAAGTACTAGCTTTGTGCCAGGCACTCTACTGCTTTACATAAATTATCTCTTTCTGCCACATCTAATTGCATCTAAGCATATGCTTAAATTTGCCAGTAGCACTTAATATTAATTAAAATAAGGATATTGATCATCTTCAAAAGAAATATCTCAATATACCGACGTGAAACCTATAGAATAAAATATTTTAAAGACTTACAAAATGTATACCACTTAATTATTATGCCATACTATTAAATTTATGTTTCTATTATGGAAAATAAAGCTATAAAATAAAAATAAAGTATCTGCTTTTTATCCTATTTATTTCTTACACCTTTCTCAAATTCCTAGAAACCACAGCTTATCATATGTCAAATAAGTATGATTAGATTCATATATTCAATTAAATCCTCTAACTAAGAAAGTAATATATAAAGTAAGTATTATGTTCTTGCATTAACTCCCAAATTATGTTGTATAACAAATCACCCTGATGTTAATCATGGTATGAGGGTTGAAAAGTAACACAGGATAAGATTTTTACTAATCCTTCACATTCCGTTTTGAAGCTGTATGCTGCTCTTGATCAGAACTCTCATTTTATTATCAAGAATTACATTATTCTCTGAATGAGTGAATTTTCTGTTGGAGACAGGAAATGAAGGACTGCAAATGCTGGAAATGTATTTTTCCTGTCTCAGTGTTAATACATGATATATATGCATTCATATTAACAATAACTCTGAAAACTAGTTTCATTTCCTCTACACATAAGCAATAAACAGTAAGTGCAAAAATGTGAATACTAGCAGCAGTGATGTGGATACAGAATACGGGGTTCCATTTGAATGTACAGTCATTTCTAATATTTCATCAGAGCATGTGTACAGGCAACTGTCGCAGATGTCCATCACAGTTGGATTAGATGAAGAAAACAATGCAGGCTTTGAGGATAAACCGAAGCTGCAGCTCAAAGTTTCCATTTCTTATCCAAGGGCACCATAGGACCATTGTCTTCCTCCTTCAAGGCAAAAAAGGAGTCAATTATGTTACTGATATTCTTCCACAGCAAACTGAAAAGTCTCTTCTACAGTCCAACAAGAGACAGCAACAACGAGAAGTTTCATAAGAAAACATGGAAATTTCAAAAATATCTTCATGCTCAAGTTTGTCATCTCGGCAATTTTTCCACCAAGTCTACCATAACTTTATTTCTTTGACAGAATCTATTAATGCAAAATTTCATAGAAACATATATTTTTAACGCAAATAAATGAATGCTTGAACTGTTTTCTAAAGAAAAAATTTATATGTCATGCAAAATAATAAAGCTTTTAGTTGTCATTAATTTCCTGTGTAATAGTTGCAGGTGGTAACTAAACACAAAGACCACTTCTTCCTAGTCCCCAAATTCTATTAAATAAATGAAGAAATAATAAATACAGAATAACACAGAAAACAATCAGACATTTTGAGATAACTAAGAGTCTTCTCATTTAGAAAACAATATCAGCTAAGATTTTCATTCAGTACGTCTACTCGTGTTACAACAGATGGGCTGGGGAAACTGACAACTGGTTCATACAGTTGCTAAACATAAACTAGTCCAATTTTGGGGGCAACAAATATCTATTAAAATAATGCATATACTTTTCACCCAGAATTACACTTCTTGGAACTTATGATAGAGATCAATCACCTAATTATACAAAAATTTTATGTGTAAGAATACTCACTGCAGAAAAAAAAAAACTAGAAAAAAAACAAGCAATTTCCTTCTTTAATAAACTATGATACAATATAATACTTTAAAATTGTTCATACATGATATATGTATAGATTTCCTTGTACATATGTACATACACATGACTACACATGTATGTATATATTCGTATCAGTTCAGTTGCTCAGTCATGTTTGACTCTTTGCGACCCATGAACCACAGCACACCAGGCCTCCCTGTCCATCACCAACTCCCAGAGTCCACCCAAACCCATGTCCATTAAGTCGGTGATGCCATCCAACCGTCTCATCCTCTGTTGTCCCCTTCTTCAACTGCCCTCAATCTTTCCCAGCATCAGGGTCTTTTCAAATAAGTCAGCTCTTCGCAACAGGTAGCCAAAGTACTGGAGTTTCAGCTTCAACATCAGTCCTTCCAATGAACACCCAGGATTGATCTCCCTTAGGATGGACTGATTGGATCTCCNTTCCCAACTCTGCGCCCATGGACTGCAGCCCACCAGGCTTCTCTGTCCATGGGATTTTCCAGGTAAGGATACTGAAGTGGGTTGCCATTTCCTTCTCCAGGGGATCTTCCCAACCCAGGGATCAAACCTGGGCCTCCTGCACTGCAGGCAGATTATTTACTGACCAAGTTACCAGGGAAGCCCCTGTGTGTGCATATGTGTGTGTAAAAACATATGTATGCACACCACATCTTCTTTATCCATTCATCTGTTGATGGACATTTAGGTTGCTTGAGAGGGCTTGAATGGCAGAAATCAGATTAATTTATGAGCAGCCAGATGAACCAGGTAGAAGTTGAGGTATAGAAGTCAAGGGTCACAGAGAAAAATTGTCTCAACCCTGATAAATGATAATACCTCACCATCTACCATTTCTGTAAACATAATTAAGCAATTTTTTAGCCTTTTAAACAAATGCGGTAAAATATAGACTACTTAAAATTTACTGTCTTAACTATTTTAAGCCTGTAGTTCAGTGGTGTTAAGTATATTCATGTTGTGCAACACATCTCTAGGCCATTTTCATTCTGTAAAACAGAAACTCTGTTTCCATTATATCAACAGTCCCCTGTTTCCTCTTCTCTCCAGTCCCTGGCAATGGCCATTCAACTTTTTATGTCTATGAATTTGGCTACTCTTTTTGTTGTTGTTCATTCACTCAGTCGTGTCCGACTCCTTGCAATTCCATGGACTATAGCCTGCCAGGCTCCTCTGTCCATGGGGATTCTCCAGGCAAGAATAATGGGGTGGGTTACTGTTCCCTCCTCCAAGGGATCTTCCCAACTCAGAGAGTGAACCCAGGTTTCCTGCATCACAGGCAGATTCTTTACCATCTGAGACAGGAGGGAAGCAAAAAAATTAAGCCACCATGGTCCAAAACATCAATTAGGCGATAGATAGATAGATCCTCTTTTCCTTCTGTCAGCCACCACCCCTTTACACGCACACACACATCACATCACATACTGTAAACCCTTCCCTTCAACCTCCCAGTACAGTATATAGCAATTTTGGTTGGATCAACATTCAATTTCTTTTATTGTGATTACATAAATATTATTCAGCTTCCCAGGTGGTGTTATGGTAAAGAACCCAGCTGCAAAAGCAGGAGACATAAAAGACACAAGTTTCATCCCTGGGTTGGGAAAATCCTCTGGAAGAGGGAATTCAAACCCACTCCAGTTTACAGAGGAGCCTGGCGTGCTACAGTCCATAAGGTCGCAAAGAGTCGGACACCACTGAAGTAACTTAGCAAACACAGAAATATTATTCAGAGCTGAACTACCTGCATTAATATATCATTCATTTTCCTTTCTTGCACAACTTTTTGTTTTCTCTGGAATGAATCATCATCTCAAGCTTTCCCCACCTAGGTACTCAATCCCAAATTGCCTACAATTGTGACGCTCCTCTTAAGAAGTTAAGACATATCACGCAGTCTATCAACTTTGTATTCCTGGAGAAAGCTCTTCTAGAACCTTCTCGCCTGCTCATATCCAGACTCACACCCTCCACGCTGGCCACCTTGCTTCACCATCACTCTGGGGATCTCCTTTGCCTTTCTCCTTTGTCGGATCTCCTGTTTCCTGGATCCCACATCTGTTTCCTTGGATTACTTTGGTCAAGCACATCAGCCATTTGAGTAGAGGTCTTCCTGCCAGGGTATTAACCGATGAATGGGGGAGGAGGTGCACAGTAAGGATGTTATTTAATCACCCTGTCTTCAGAAAGGTTTCCCGACCCTCAATCGAGCCTATGTGCCCTAAGAGAGGAACTCTCCCTTCATCACAGCATAAGGACTTCCAGGGATCCACCACAGATTAGGAGCGCACCTGTAGATGTAACTGCTTCTCCAACAGCTATTAACAAGTCCAGATGATTTGAGCCTCCTTCAACTTCTAGACACATCCGTTGCCACCAATTCCAGGGACTTTGAGAGATCCCGTCATATAAACAGCCTTGTTCCTCGTGTGTGATAAATCCATTCCCACACAACCACCTGCTTCCAAAATACTGTTCCTGCCGTCTCTTCTTTTCTCTATTCTTGTAGGTTTTCACACTTAAAAAAAAAAAAAAAAACAACCTCTTTCCTGTTATTTTAACACACTTCATGGCAGAAACAAAACTAAACGCCTATCTATTTAATGGATTAGCATGATTTGATACATAAGTTCCTTTTCATGCATTTGTATATTTTCTAAACTTTCTCTAATTATTCATATCATTTGGTAATCAGAACATAAATTTACTTGCAGGGAGGGAAAGGTGACACAGATGTACAGAATGGACTTGTGGACACAGTGGGGAAGGGAGAGAGTGGGACAAATGGAGAAAATAGCATCAATATATATACGCTATCGTATGTAAAGTGGATAGCTGGTGAGACGGTGCTATAAAACACAGGGAGCCCAGCTCTGTGCTCTGTGATCACCTAGAGAGCTGGGACGGGGGGAGGAGAGGGAGGCTCAACTGGGAGGGCTCAACAATTACGGCTGACTCATGTTATTGTATGGCAGAAACCAACAGAACATTGTAAAAAAATTTTTTTAATTTACCTGGTATAATAATCTAAAGAAATGACATTTGGAATATACAAAGGTAATCAGGCTGACTTTCTCCCTCCTTAGGACTTCCTCCAAATACTCATTTGTCTATATATAAATAATAAGAAAGTTTAACTATAAAAGGAAATTTTCTATTACCCAATGATCATTGTTCATAATGAGACCTTGAAGTAAGGCCATAATCTTAAGAAGTCTTCTAAATCATCAGCTATTTCAATATAATTATAACAGATGCTATCTTTCATGTGACTATTTCTGAACCTTAAATTATCTTCTATGAAGACACCCTAGGGAATGAGCGCAAATCAAATTACCATTGAAGAACTTCCTGAAAAGCTCTCAAAAATAAAAAAGCACATGTGCACGTGTGTCCTTCTTAGAAATTGCAGAGTTGCTTGGCTGACCTTTGTTCCAGGGAGTTTGGTTCAGCTAAGTGATAACCCACCGCCGTGTCCCTCTTTAAGTAAGATGATTTAGTAAAAAAATCTCCAAAAGCAGAGTCTTTATACTACAATAAAAAATATTAAAGAATGTTTTAAAAAGAAAGAATGAAACTCAGAGATATTAGTAACTTTGTCAAGGTCACACAGCTAACTGGGGGTGGAGTCAGAATGGAACCATCCATCCACCGCTGCGCCACAGGGGGCCTCCACATGCACCCGAGTGCTTGTCACTGAGAGGAGGGTTTGAGAGATGCTTGTTGTTTCGTTCTATTATGTATTATTTGAATTTTCTGCTGTGAACATGTATTCTATTTAGAGGTACAGGGACAAAGAACAGAAAGAAAATCAAAGAGTGACTCTTGCCACAGAAATTTCAATAGGTAAATGGAGATGAACACATTTCAAGACAGTGAGGAGTTAAAAAGAAGATGAGAAAGAGGTGAAAAGCATAGAGTGACTGATTTTTAAAAGGGCAAAAACACCTTGAACCCATGATGCAAGCATAAATTAGACTAACACTTAAGGGATATTGGGGCTTCCCAGTTGGCACTATTGGTAAAGAATCTACTTGCCAATTCAGGAGACACAAGAGACATGGGTTCAGTCCTTGGGTTGGGAAGATCCCCTGGAGAAGAGAATGGCAACCCACTCCAGTATTCTAGCCTGGGAAATTCTGGCTGCCTACAGTCCATAGGGTCACAAAGAGTCGGACACAACTGAGTGACTGAGCACCAACTGGGGATGATATTAGCAATGTGATACCAAAAA